TCGAGGGCTCTCTGTGGAATAGCTGCCACATGGTGACGCTGCTCGCCAAGTGCTGGTATCGAGGTTGTTGACCAAGTACCTTACCAAGTTACACCGCTGTACTATTTTGCTACAAATAATTTCCTTGGAAATGTTCAGGTATTCAAATGGGAAATCTACAACGGGTCGATGAAATAGTGTTCTCTCAAGGTGACAAGTGGAGGTGGTTTTGGAGGAAGCGTGTATGTTGTGATCTCCGTTCATACAAAGGTTGGTGCATATGGTGGACAAGGAAGGGAAGAAAAGAAGAGTAGTAAGGAAAGTTAGCCGTGGGTAGTCGGGAGTGCTTGGAAAAGCCAGTGTGGACGTCGTGTCCCAAGTTCCGTGTTTAGTTGACCGCACTATGCCTACCGGATTGTTTCGCTGCGTGCCCTATGGACGCTGTCTGTGTATCCCATTGATGTCGTCTCCACTTCCGACGTGTTGCGCCCCACCTCCGTTCGCCACTATAAGATACCCTTGGTCCTTGCTCTTCTTCATCATCCCCATTCCCCTCGTATTCGGAGTAGAGCTACGATATCCAGTCACCATCCGAGGAATTAGGTTCGGCAGTCTGAGGTGATGGTGTAATCCGAGAAGAAAGGATCTGGTTTCATCGAAGAAGTTCAAGTTCCTTTTGGTTAGTTGGTCTTAGGGTTCATGATGTTTGACTTCTCAGTCGACTATTTTTGGATCTGTTGGACCTATGCCATGATTTGGATAATCATCTCCTATTGCTTCTCTATTGTCCTCGTCTATCTTGATTTTTGGATTAAGTCCCGGTTGTATTAGGTTGCTCTGAACCATGTATCCCTAATCGTTGTGTGGTTTAGTATTCGAAGTCGTGTAATCTTTCGTGTAATCCCTAATCTACGAAATGTACTCGTGTTTCCCCTCTTTTGGTTCTTGCTTCGAATCTTAGGGCGAGATTCTATTTAAGGGGGGTTGGTTGTAACACCCCTGGTGTTATGAACTTGTTTAGCACCGCGATTTAGGCCTAAGACAAAATTTTCGAAATGGGTTTCTCGAATTTTTGATTTAAAACATACTTGATGTGATAAGTGAATCCTGTGTGACTTAATTTTGTGAACTCGAATCAATGCCCAAGTTAAATTACTCAGTGCGTAAAGATATTTAGGAATGTCGAACGACAATTCTAGCCAATAGATAGCGAACGGTTTGTTCTATTAGATTAAGCATGAAAAACAACTTTTATAAATAAAATAAAATCCATTAATAAATAGAACAAGATATATTTATAGCCTTGGTCTAGTGACATGTTTTTACGTATAGACTCGTTTTAGTCCCTATGATAATTTGGTAACGTACCTGCGATAGCTGCCCGTCTGGCCGCTTCATAAATTTACGTGGTTGGTGTGAAACACGTTACAGACATGAGATAGCGCAGCGGTTTAGTAGTCTTCATTTACTTTTCCTAGCACGGCTCCAGCGTACTTGCCTTGCTTTACAATTATGCACCGTCTCATCTTCCGTCATGGCTCTGCACCCTGGCGCGTCCATTTGCCTGCGCCCCTGTCTTTCTCTCCATCGCTTGCGTCCTGTCTGAATTTTTTAATGGGAGCGCATGGCTCTGTCATGCCGCTGTTGTCCTACGCCCGACACCTTATACGAGCGTCCATGCTGCTGCTACGCTGCCACTGTCTTCTGCCTTTGAGAAAGATGGCCGACCTACTGCTCGCATCGTCCCGTCAATCTGCAAAGCTGCCGAAACACGCCGTGCTGTCCCGACGTTAATGAAGTTGGCCGGTCACTCACGTTGTTTGCTTCCGTCCTTTTCTATTTTTGCTGCCTTGGTCTTGTCTTTGCTTGTCTCTACTTGCCTCTACAGTCTGCCTCCGTTGTCCCGTCGTGCTCATGTCGTTGTCACAGCGTCGTGGTCTACCTCAGCGTTCTGCCAAGCTGAGTCGTCTCGTCCTCGCCTATGCTGCCTCGGTCTGGCTTTGCTCCTCTACTTTCCTTTTTCTTTCTACTAGGCCAGCAGCCCGGAGCCCATACCACTAGGCAAGGCACACACGCGAGCCCACAGCACTGGCTTAGGATGCGCCCACCGTCGCCCGGCCACAGTAAGCGCAAGCCCAACGAGCCACGCTACTAACCACGCTGCCTGTAGCACTGCAGCGCCCTGCCGTGGCCAGCCCACTGCCGCCCGAGCACGCGTCGTCCCTTTCCTTCCCCGCTCTAGACTGTAGCCGCCATTGCCGCCGCTGGCGCACCTCGAGCGCGCTGCTCGATCGCTGTCGCTGAGGCATCCTAGAGCACGCGCTGCTCATCCGCTGCCCCAGCCCCACCGCGTCTCCGCCGTCATCTGCCCGGTCCGTCCCATGCCTCATCTGCTCGAGGATGAAAGAAAGGGTGAGATGGTGAGAATAGAATATTTCTAGGGTTCTAAATGCTAAGTTAGTGACTCAGATAAATAGTAGCATACCAAATAGGTAGAAGATTGAGGATGTTTTTGCTTAAAGGTCACGGCGCCCTAGGTTTCCCTAGCTAGGCCGACCTACCGCGCTCGCTTGGGCCAGTCCGCGCTCGCAGATCGCTTGGGCCGGTCCGCGCTCGCTGATCGCTTGGGCCGCCGGCCTCCTGTGTGGACCGCGCCTGGTTGGTAGGCCGCGCGCGCCTGTGGGCCGCGCAATGCTGCTGGGCCATCGCCGCGCAGCGTTGGGCCATGCGCATGCCTACGGACCGTTGGGCCGATCTGGCCGCTGGCCTTTTAGTTTTCTAAAGCAATCGTTAAATTAGTTTCGCAAATAAAATTGTAAAATTCGTAGTAAATCATAGAAAAATCATAAAAATGTCAAACCAGTTTTGGTGAGTTCCTATAATCATGATCTATCTAATAGTGTATTTTATTCGCATAGGTTCGGTACATTTTTAGGATTGCTGTAATTATTTTAGAATGCTTAATATTATAAAAATGTAAACATGTAGGAGTTTTTGCGGTAAAATGATGACAGTGTTGACTCTAAAAAATTTTACAAAAATTCCTACTATTAATAGTAGCTCACTGTAATTTTTGTAGCTCCAGAATAATTAGTTTACAAGAGTAGTTTATGATGCCCTATTTCGAATAATGATTAAATCGATAGAATGGAATAAAGAAACACCTTGAAATTTATAATTAAAACACTTGTGGGGAAATGATATCTTTCTCGATGATGTTGATACATAGCCTAAGTACAGTCGTCGATAGAACTAGCTCGTTAACTTGAGAGGCGTAAATCGTATATTACGAGTCACAATTGCAGTTGATTAATTACGTCTTTGCATTACATCGCATTGCATATCATAATAGGGATGTCGTTGGATCACGGAGTCATCAGGAGTTGCTGGAGAAATGGTGCTTTTGGAGATCATGTCGCCATGATGGAAAGCTAACTTCTGATTAAATCTTACCCAGGCAAGCCCCGATGCATAACCCCTACTTTTCTGCACTTTAAATTATATTTGTGCATTAAGTTTTCAGGAGTTGAATGAAACCCACTTGCACATATATATACATCTTTATCCCATGAGTCTTACTAGTGTGACAGGATCGTGTAGATTGCTATGCTACAGTACTTCGGTAGAAGTCGAGTGATTTCCTGTCGCTCACGAGATATAGGAAATATATTACTGTATTATTATCACTTGGAAAATATAAATGGTGGAAAGGAAAAATGATGACTGGGCAGGGATATGGTTTGGGTTTTGGTGGGTGTAAGAGGTGTGTCCTGCGGCCAATGAGGCATAGCTTGGTTACACTATTTTCCCTGTCCGTGTTGGTTAAGGACCGGTCGTTGCATAAGGCTCTAGGCAAGTCACAAATTTATTATCCCGAGCACATACTTGGCTATGGGCGCTTGGAAGACTTGTTACTCTCTTGTCATGGGTTCTGGCTCTTTCTGGACCGACTATCATGGTGGTTTTTAGGTTAGGAGGTCCTTGCACCACACTGAGTCCGGGACTTAGGGGCGGGGGCTTAGAGTCCCAGTTTGGATGGGGACCTGGACCCCATGGTAGGAGGGTAGTTGGTTGGTCTTGCTTGTGCCTTGGGTACAAGCAGGGCGTGTGTTTTTGGGGTACCCAGCTGGGGGTATTGATTCGTGAATTGCCGACATTCTGGTACGACTTGTCTACGGTTTAGCACCGTAGTAAGAACTGAAAGATGAAAGATGGAAAAAGGAAATTTGATTGCTTACCACCTGCTTGAAAAGTAGCATGGGGGCTTACATAGAATGGTTGGTTAATGAACTAATGCGGCTGTAATAAAAATTGAATATAAGGACGCACACGTAGTAATGCTTCCTACATATGCAATAAACCCACAAGACAGATATCCTTGCATATCCTTGGACTCTTTTCTTTCCTCCTGTTGGGTAAGTCTTGTTGAGTATAATTGAGTACTCAGGGTTTTATGTCCCCCTGTTGCAGGTGTCAGGTGGAGGCTAGAGCTGATATTTGTGTGTGGATTCCTCCTGGTGGGCTCAGAGAGGATTTTCTTTACGCTGCGATCATAGTTTTTATTTATAACTCTCACCAAATGTTTTTTTAAATGAAAGTTTTATAATCTGTTGTCATAGTTTCTATATCAATGCTTCATCATGTCGTGAATAGATAATTATTTCCGCTGTAATTCTGATCACATGTTTATATTCTGCTGTTACATTAAATTGTTCATAACTCTGATAATATGATTACATTCCACTGTTATAATAATAAACATTATACTCTGATGTTGTATTAAAAGTGATGTAAGAAATGGTTAAGAATGATGTAAGCTTTATTCTCTCATTTGTCATCCTGATGGGAAAAATGTGGATTTTTGGGTTCTCCCCTAGGGTGTGTCCGATGAAACAAAGTAATTTAGTGTTCTCCCTTGGGTGCTTAGTGTCTAATGGAAGATGAGCACTCCTAGGAGGCTTTAGATTAGGCGGTTCTGCCACAATGGCCTTCCGCAAGCTAGTCCTACATTGGAGGCTGCCATGGACGTGATGCTGGAGCAGCAGCAGCCACCTGCAGGGGCAGGGGCCTCCTCGACTGGCTCGACATCTCCTCGCCTCCATGTACACATACATGAAACCACCCTCATGCCGCCGTCTCCGTCATCGCCGAAGACCTCGCTCCCGCTCACCTTCTTCGACGTCTTCTTTCTTCGCTCCTCGCCCATCGAGCGCCTCTTCCTCTACCGTCTCGCCCCTGATGTCGACATCGCCGCCATCATCTCCAACCTCCAGGACTCGTTGCACCAGGCCCTCCACGCCTTCTACCCGCTCACCGGCCGCGTCCGCCTCATCCCCGGCACATTCGACCGCTACGAGCTGCACTACCGCCCGAGTGACGACGCTGTCACCTTCACCATCACCGAGTGCGACGACAACGATGACATGGACACGCACTTCAACGGCCTCACCACCGACAAGTTGTGGGGGGTTGCCAAGATTGCCATGCTTGTGCCACCGCTGCCCAAGGGCGGCCATCTGCTCGCCGTTTAGGCCACGCTCCTTCCCGCGAGCCGAGGTCTCACCATCGGCATCACCGTGCACCATGCCGCCTACGATGGCTCTGCATCCACGCACCTCCTGCACACCTGGGCGGCCGCCACCTATCATCGACCTGATTCTCCTCCCCAACCTAAGGTGCTTGTACGAAGTCTTCATCCAAGGGGCGCCAAGCAGCGAAGAGTTGGAGTCCATCAAGATGTCCACCGACCAGCTCCTCGCCACGTTCGCTCTGTCAAAGGATGACCTAAAGCGCGTTAAGGACGTTGTGGCCGACGAGGCTATTAGGCGAGGCGTTGTGCCGCCCCGATGCTCCTCTCTGGTTGCCACCTTCGGCTTGGTCTGGTCGTCGAGTGTAACACTTGCTGCAGCTTTGCCGAGTGTAACACTCGGCAAAGAGGCCTTTTGCCGAGTGCCAGGGTTAAAACACTCGACAAAGTGTACACGTGGCAAAATTCTATGCATTCTGGGACTAAAATGGCTTCTTTGCCGAGTGTTTGCGCTATGACACTCGGCCAAGAAGCCAAAATTCTATGCATTCTAGGACGTGTTTGCCGAGTGCCTGGTATTCGACACTCGGCAAAGGACGAAGGTTTGCCGAGTGCCTGAAATGAGACACACGGCAAAGGAGGAAGTGTTTGCCGAGTGCCTGGAGTGTGACACATGGCAAAGGAGGAAGTGTTTGTCGAGTGCCTGGATTGTGACACATGGCAAAGGAGGAAGTGTTTGCCGAGTGCCTGAGACGTTGACACACGGCAAAGAAGCAAAGTTTGACGAGTGCCTAGAATTTGACACTCGGCAAACACGCCGTGACCGTCTCCACTCTATCACGTTACTTTTATTTGCCGACCATCGATTTTAGCTCTTGGCAAAGTCTTTGCCGACTGCCCGAAAGAAAACACTTGGCAAAGCTACTGTTTGCCGGCACTGTAGATGTCGTGTGCTGTTTGCCGAGTGTTACACTCGGCAAATCCTTTGCCGAGTGTTTTTTGGGCTTTGTCGAGTGCCTGTGGCACACGGCAAAGCTACTATTTCTGGTAGTATCATGCTACCAGCGAGCCAAGGAGGGCGGCAGCGGCGGCCCCGGAGAGGGCCCGATGACCTACATGGCCTTAGCCGTCGACCACCGCTCGCGGATGAAGCCTCCCTTGTCAGACAAGTACCTGGGCAACTGCGTCGGCCTAGCGTTCGTGCTCGCACCAACGGGCGAGCTGGCCACGGCTGGCGTAGGAGGGATCTTCAGCACGTGCACCGCCGTCGCCTCCTCCATTGATGAAGCTGTACGCGACATCGGGACGTCGAGCATGGAGGTGTGGATGGACTGCAACAGGGAGGTGTTCCCGATGGGTGTACTGACCGTGTCCAGCTTGCCGAGGTTCCGCGTCTACGACCTGGACTTCGAATTTGGCTGGCCAACAAAGGTGGACGTCGTGCCCATGTCGAGCATCGGCGTAGTGGCGGTGGCGGAGAGCCGGGGTGGCGATGGCGGGATAGAGGTGGGGGTCTCTCTTCAGCCAGCAGCCATAGGGAGCTACAAGAAGTGCTTCACGGATGCTATCACGTGGCTCTACCAGAAGACAAGAGGGCTTGTACAATGCGAGAGATGCTTTAGAGGAGAGAGAAAAGTAAGAGTTCACTAAGCGCCAAAAAATCTCAGTGCTAAAGCGCTTACATTTTGCGCTAAGCACAATAGAAACAGCCAGCCTCTCTGTGTATTTTTGCCCAAGCGTCCGACGCCTTTTTGAGCGGCGATGCCGCACAAAAGTCATCATCGATAGAGTATCATCGGCAGTCCTTCGAGGGTATCCTAGGAAGGTAGATTGATCGGCGGTAGTGCGGGTAATCAAGAAAAGAAGGTAACAGAGACACAAGAGTTAGATAGGTTTGGGCCGTCTACACGATGTAATACCCTACTCCTATAGTCTGTTGGTTTGTATTGGCTATCGTATGATATTGCTTGTGTTTTGAGGGGATCCCCTACCCGCCTTATATAGCCGGGGATAGGGTTACAAGTCAGTTAGACCTAGGAGATAACTGGTAAGTAATAACAGATTACAGGAATCATAGGATCGAACATATCTTAATAGATCTCTTAGCATCTTTAGGATATCGCCCTTGATGTCTTGTGGTACACGCCGAGCAGTACCGTGCACCGTAGGTCTTCGTCTTGTGGGCTGGACCGCCCTTGGCAGCGTAGCCCATGTAGTCTATCATGGGTATCCCGGGTCGTACCCCCACAGCTAATCCCCGAGCGCCTTGTATCCACTGTGCAATGCTGTCTTGAGCATGTCCGAGCAGGTGTAAACAAAGCCAAGCAGTCAGATTCATAGTCCATAATGAGTCGCCGAGTAGTTGTGTACCATAACCGACTAGCTTAACTGTCAGGCCGAAGATGGGCTTACCCAAGTAAGGCTTGCTAGAAGGATGTTAGGAGCTCAAGTTTAAAATCAAAAATTTCCTCGCTGTGAACCAAGTGTGCCCACTTAGAGTCCGACCACGAGAAAGGGTGATAATCTTCTTCAACTTCAAGAGGCACAGAGTCTTACAGATTAAAGAAAACACACTCACTACAAGGTGAAGTGTGCCCACTTAGTCCCTGAGCCTGATAGTAGGTGACGTGGTCACGTGGTGCCAGGGTCCAGAAAGTAGAAGAAAGGCAGACGACCAGCCAAGCAGGCAACCAGTCCATGGGCTGAGCCCTGAAATGAAAAGCGCACATTCACCACAAGGTGAAGTGTGTCCACTTAGTCCCTGAGCCTAACAGTAGGTGACATGGTCACGTGGTGTTAGGGTCAGAAGCAACAATAACCGAAAAAGTCCCGAGTATGGTGAGAAACCGAATCATAATGATGTCGTTGTCCCCGAGCCACAAGTGAAAATCTTAGATAAATCAAGAAGTGCCGATAACTCAAATCGTGGAGAAAAAACCAGAGTAATGATTGTATAGTAGAAATTACTAAGACTTGATGGCTTTGCAGAGTGGTCGGCGAACATTCGGTGTGTAGTACCAAGTTGCGTCAAAAAATGGGCGATATGGGCCGTAGTTGCGCGGAAGCCCAGATAACGGCCCACCACGCCGCTTTGGGGAATTGGGAAGGGCGCAAATCAGTATGGTGCAGTTTCCCAGAAACCCTTGAAAGCGAAAATTAGGTTGGGTGTCTTTATAACTATGTCGCCGCACTCCGCGCTCCCACCTTTGCCACTCTGCCACTTCGTCTTCCTCCTTGCCCTCGCTCTCCCCCATTCGCGTTCACACGCACTCCAGAACTGAGGGATGGCGTCGAAGAGGGGAGGCGGTAACGCGAAGAAGGCAGTCACCAGGTCGAGCCATGACAAGGAATGGGTACCATCACTCATGGGGAGACAAAGCTCAACGAGATGGTGGAGACGGGCATTCTTCCTGACCGTGTCACCACCGGATGGCATCCGACCGATGGTGAGCCCTATCTAATGCCACACACCGATGAACTTGTTGTATTCAAAGATTATTTATGGCGTGGATTAGGGCTTCCTGTACATCCTTTCTTACAGGATCTATTGGAGTATTGGGGAGTCAGCTTGTGTAATCTTCATCCGAACACTATTTTGCACATTTCTATCTTTATCCACTTCTGCGAGGTTTATCTTGGCATTCTTCCCCATTTCAATCTCTTTCGACACTTTTTCTGGCTGAAGAAGAAAGGAGGGGGCGGTTCCAAAGTTGTCGGCGGTGTGTATCTATAGCTCTACGATGGGATGGCAGGCGAATACGATCCTGTGCCACTAAATATCTCGTTGAAGGGGTGGAATACCAGGTGGTTCTACATGAAGCAAAGTGCCATCCAATGCGATGTCGACCAGATTCTAGAGAATCAAAGGAGCTGGTTGGAGAAACTGACAGTGCCGATATGGAATAGGTGAAGGAGCTCCCTGAACTAATAAGGGGCATGAAGATGAGCGGAGTGGTGGTGGTGGTGAACTTCATACTGTGTCGTGTCTAGCCCTGCAAGGAGAGGGTTCATCCGGGCTTTGACTTCAAAGGAGATACTGACGGCACCTGGAAGAGGACAGAGAACCTGGTGAAGGAGGCTATGCTACACTAGGCAACCGAACTATTCTCTCCAAACATGTCGTACACCATGCTGGGGTAGCTGAAACCCTTTAACTGCATGAACCCACCTCCTTAGGTAAAAATCTCGACTGTTGTTCCAGGTGCTTTTTATCTTGTGTCAACGCTAAGCAGTGGGTTGATTCGCTTGCGGAAAGATCCATTGGTAGGAATGGGTGACATACTTCTCGAGCTTGCCAAGGAGCGATTGGCCAAAGGCACTGGACTCCAGGCTGACCACTCAGCCAGAGGAAGGTGCCATCAGCACCTCGTCTGAATCCAGAGGGAAAGATGCTGGTCGGAAGGAGAGTCCCCCCCAGTATCGGAGAAAGTTCAGGGGAAAAGGGCGGCGAAAGATGAGCTGGCCCGAAAGAAGAGAAGAGCAATGGATGTAGCTCCCCGCGAGCTGGTTGGCATCTCACTTAGTGGCGGTCGAACCGCTCGGACACAAAGTGTGGCGATGTCCGAGTGGTCGGACGAGGAGGAGGCTCTAGTAGCTCCCCCTCTGAGCACCAAAGCGTCATCGCACAACACACGCGCGGAGGTGCAATCGAAGGGAGGGGAAGGAGTCCCCGAGCAGCAGGTGAAGAAGACACCGACGGCGGGGTTCGCAAGACCTCTAGCCCAGGACACACGGGTTGACCCTAGAGCAGTGCCTGGGTGCTCAGGGTGGGAGTGCTAGTTCAGAACCATTTATTGAGAAGCTGATGTGTAAGTATCTTTGCCTTGGGATCGGTAGCTATCCGATTTTTATAGTTGCGGTGATCGATGAGCTAATCCGATGCAGAACGGAGCACACGGAGGATCTGAATCCTTCAGGCCAGACTGGGGAGTAGCCGGGGGCTATTCACAGCGCGGAGACATTACGGATAGACTCCATCCTAGAGTCCCTGGGTGCTCGTTGGTTTGTAGAGGATTCGACCACCGCTGCTGATTGAGTTGGAGGTGGAGAACGGTCGACGACAATGATGGGCGAGTCGACAGAGACACTAGGAGCAACAACGAGAGCCGCTGAGTCTTTGAAGGCGGGAGCGGAAGCTACCGATGACGTGTTTGAATTGGGGACGCAGAGGCCGGCAGTGTCGGAGGAGCAAGCGGCGTGCCCTGAGATGCCGCAGGGCATGATCGGTCGCTCTGTGTGGCTACCGAGCCCCCAGAGAGCGCCACCGGCTGTGGAGGAAGATGATGAGGTCAAGGAGATTGAGCGTGAAGGATCACGATCTCAAACCGTCCGCATCTTCCGCAAGCGAGGGGAGGAAGTTGTAGTTGTGGAAGAGGAGGACACCACTAGGGAGGTTAAGAGGCTACAGTCCACCCTTTCCACAGCTATGAAGCAAATTGAGGTTAGTATTGCGTCAGTGGTGTCCGTCTTTGGCGTTGGAGACTATGGTCCTTTATAATCTTAGTGCTTTGCAGGGCATAGCGTAGACTACCATACAACGGCAGCAGTTGATCAAAAGGATGGAGCCCCTCACCAAGGAGAACGAGAAGCTAAAGGAGGCGATGAAACTAATGGAGAAGAACATCTAGAGGGCCCAGCGTGAAAGGGATCTTGCTAAATCAAACACCAAGGACCTAGAGTACCAAAAAGGCATCTTATCCGAGCAGTTGAAGACCGCCTCTGAGCAACTAGAGCACACCTCCGAGCAGCTGAAAAGCGGCTCCGAGCAGCTAGAGCACACCTCCGAGCAGCTAAAAAGCGTCTCTGAATAGAAGAAAGGTGCTGCGGATTGGTGAATTTGTTCTACATTGCCGAACAGTCTTGATGTTGCTGTCGACCGTTACATTTGTAGAGCAAGATGCAGAGCTCGGCCGGCTGTGTCAAGTCGTCGAACAACTCCAAGAGGAGAAGGAAAAGTCGTCTGGGCAAGCGGAGAAACTGGGCGAGGATCTAGAAGGTGAGTAATTCATGGTCAGAGTTATTGCTGAAATGATTTCTTCGTTCGATGGATCCCTTTGGTGTCTGTAGAATACCGTTGAAGAACCAAGACGTAGTTTGCCATGCTGGAGTTGGAGGCAAAAATCTAGAGGGGAAAATTTGACGCCGTGGTGGCCAGAGTCAGGCCAGTGCTCGACTGTATTGATATGGAGGTATCTCCTTAGCCTGACGACAGGCCGCCCCATTCGGGCGCCATCATTGACAGGTGCAAGGCGGTGTGGGAGAACTTTAAAGGCTTCAACCGAGATGTCGTTGTCTCCATCATGACACTTGCCCTGGCGGTGGTCCGGTCTCACTACCTTGCCATCAATCTTTGAGCGATAGGGGCCGGATTCGCCAGAGGGATGGGTGCAACGAAGCAGGAGCAGCTGAAAGATGAGGTGGAGGACGTGGTGAAGAGGCTGGCCGACGATGTCGATCTGTTCGGTGAGGTACACGGTGAGGGCCAAGCTCAATAACCTGAGTGGAGAGGAACCTGTATGGGACAACTGGAAAGGGGAGTTAAATGCACGAGGGCCTAAGCAAACATTTGTGTATTTGTATAAATGTTGTAAGTAGATGACTTGTGCGTGTTCAGGAGGCTTGCTAGCGCTTGTGGTGAAAAAGAGACATGT